AAAGCTTAGAAGTCTACAATCCTAAAGCCCTAAACCTCAAACCCTAAACCCTAAACCAAAACAACCCTAAACCTCAAACGCGAAACCCAAAAACCTTGAAGCCCTAAACTTGAAAAACCCTACAGTCCCTCGGAAGATTCTGAAACCCAAAGCCCTATAGCACTTTGAACAAAAACCCTTAAAGCCCCAAACCTTAAACCCCCCTTATATCATAGGAACCTTTGAAGGAGCATGTACAAGAACCTTTGAAAGAACTGTTTGAAAGAACCCTTAAAACCCTAAACCCTAAACCCTAAACCTCAACCCCCCGCCCCCGAAAAGCAGGAGCATTGGGACACCGACGATGGGGCTCTCGAACCGGAGGCGGTCCTTGCACACCCCAACTCCTGGTTGTAATGGTAATAGGAATACCTTGATAGTAATTTGGAGTCATACAGTGCGTGGTAAGATAGTAGAACATAGTAGTAATAGTAATGGAGTGGTAATTGTAATATAAGAGGGTTGATGATATAAACCCATAGCAAAGAATCTCCCACAATTCCCATACAGTAGGGTCCTTAAGGTAATGCAGGACTCATATCATCAACCCCAGTACCCAAGTTGTTTGGGGGCTTCCTAGGGTTCCTTTGCTTCAACGGGGTTTCTATTGGGTTTTTTTGATAGGGTTCTTTGAATAATTAAGGGGCTTCTAAACAGGGGTTTAGGGAGTTCAGGGTTGCAGATTCTACGGGATTGATAGGGTCCCAGGGTTAAGGGTTGAGGGTTCCAGGCCCCCCAGACGTATCCTCAAACCCGCTTTGTTTCTGAGATTCTGGTTTCTCTCATTATATAAGACTGAAGCACGGGAGCAAAACGCAACCTTCATCAATAACGGAATAGGACTCATATGGCTTGGTGGGGTTACTAGCTTCTGTACAGACGATGGATTTGATAGTGAGTCTCTGAATACCTCCTGCGCGTAGATATTGTTGATGACACATCCTCTTGCAGAAAAGGGGACTTGGTAAGCAGTTGAAATTGGGGGGGGCGTTTAGTTTAACCCTTACCCTCAAAGGACTCATATCTTAAGGCTTAGGGTAAGGGTTTGGTATCGTGTAGTTGGGAGCTGTACCCTATTTGGGGCTACCCTCCCCAAACCCTACAAGACGCACCGTAAACCCCGAATGCTGAAGCCTGCCCTACTAGGAATCTCCCCTTTATGGTCCCCGTCTTTAGGGCTTAGGATTTAGGCCGAAGGCCCCTAAACCCCAAACCCTAAAACCCTACACCCTAAAACCCGAAGCCCCTAAGTCCCCAAACTCTACACGACAAAACCCCGAAGCCCTAAAAAAAGGGCCTGAATGAGTACCAATACAAGTTTAGGGGGTTCCTTCTTATAATTGAATACGGTATATATTAACTGTTAAGGCCCATACATTGTGGGGGGCCTAAATGATTACAAATACTATTTTGAGGATTCCTTCTTATCAATATAGTCCTTGTATAATCCACCCCAAGACCATATTCGAATTATTAACGCCCCTCCACTTAAACCTTGAAGCCCCAAGCCCCTCGATCCTTCACACTCGGAAAAGGAGCCCCTGAGCAGCGAAGACGAGGTGCCGGACTCCAAGGTGCGAGGGATTTGGGGTTGCGGGTTTCGGGTTCAGAGTTTAGGGTTCGAGGTTTAGGGCCCAGGGTTTAGGGCTTGAGGTTTGGAGTTTAGTGCGGATGAAGGTTTTGAGGGTTTGCGGTTTAAAGTCTTGGGGGTCCAGGATGTTGGGTATAGGGATGTAAGAGCCAGGATTTAGGATGCTGGGTATGCGGACGCAAGTTGTAGGATCAGGGTGTCAGGTATAAGGATGCGATCAAGGAGAGTGTCGGATTTACAGTGTGGGGCAGGGTTCAGGGCTTCCGGCAGCAATTCGAGGCAGCTTTGCCAAGTTATGTGTTCCCAAAGCAGTTCATATATGTTTTATATCGACGTACCACGCCAGCAACCCATGTTTCAAACAATAGCCTAAACCCTAAACCCTGGACCCTCTTGAATAAAACGTACGATCTCCTTAAGGTTCCCGGAGAGAGTTGCGGTCAAAAAAGCGCAAAGTCTGTCTTCGGTCTGACCACGTTAAGAATTAAAGGGGTTAGGGTTTACCCTAAACCCTAAACCGTAAGTTACGAGCTTAGGATTTAGGCTATATGGTTCAGAGCTCCGTGCTCAGGGCTCAGAGTGACTTTGGGTTTTGGTTCAGAGTTTGGGGCCAGGGTTCTTCCCAGAATCCTGATGGAGGTCTTCCAAGAGAACCCAATACCCCCTACTTAAGGAATATACTTTAACGTTTAAAGCATAATATGAAGGCCTCTATAATTTAAGGCATATTCGTGAATGAAGGGGTATTGGGTTCTCTGGGTTCGGGGTTTGCGCCCACAATTGATATAGAAGCGTAAATCATTACCAATAGTCTTTCTTAGTTTAATTATACCCTAAACCCTAAACCCTAAACCCTAAACCCCGAATACTATAAAGGAGCCCAAAACCCTGTTCCAAGTATTAAGGCTTCTGTTTTACTCGGATTTGGAGTAGGTGTTGTTTTGGCTTGGATTGAGGCTGGTCCTGGTTGGCTTCGGGAGTTGAGTTGCGTGTATCTGTGGTTATCCACACATAGAAGCCCCTGCACACAGGCATGTAGAGCTGCTTGCTTGTTCAGTGCGAATCTGTTTACAAGCCTTTCATCTTGCTTCTTGCGCAGCTCTGTCAATCGAAGCCCTGATGATCAGGCTCGTGAGGCTTTACAGTGGTAACGTGCATCGCTGTGCATTCCTTTGCTGCTTCGTTGCTTAGAGACCGGGATCGGATCTGAGCATGGTTACTTCGCCTTCAGGGGCTGAAGGGTTTAGGTGTTTAGGGTTTTAGGGTCTTAATTCGGGTGAGGGAGGCCCTAAACTCTGAACCCTAAACGGCCCTAAACCCAAACGTGAGAAAAGTCGGAGATCCTCCGCAGGACAGGAAGAGCAAGAAAGCTCGGCGTGCACCACCCGTCCCAGAGGACTGTTTCTTGGGTAATGTAGGGGCCTACAGAATCACCAATACTGGTTCTTAGGGCTCCTTGTTGTAAAAAGCATACCCCCAAATTGCCCTATTCTGATTATAAACGGCCGTTTCTTGGGTACAGAGCTCCTGGGACTTCGCAGGTCATCCTTCAAGGTATACACATGTACGCACTATAGAGTATAGGGCTTAGGGTATAGAGGATCCAGAAGGGCAGGGCCGTTCTAGTGCAGGCCGAGATTGGCGACACGAAGTTACCGCTCTCCAAGAGGCCATGTCCATAAAGTCCTCGACATTCGTTGAAGTTCTCTGGCGGCCACTGTGGCCATTGCTGCAATGCTCCGCACCTTGAGCTCCAAGCTCGCAAGCCTTCCGGTTTCCGGTATCGCTAAGCTCTGAGCACCACTCTTTGACCAAACTGGGCTTTCCTGAAATGTCTGGGCGTTTGATGGCCTTTTATGCTCAGCTCTGTGGCTTTGTTTAAATCTCAGAACACCCTACCCCCCAAAATGTTGTCTTTGTTTTTATGTAAACCCTACACTGGCCCTTAAGATAGAACCCCTTAGTAGAGAATCCCTATCACAAAAAGTTGAAAACTCTAAAACCCTAAACACAGGGGTAGTTCTCTAAATTAAATTTGGATCCCGTTTTAGGTCCCCAGAATACCAGGGAACTCTTATAAAAAGGGCCCTAAAAGGAACCCTAATTTTAGAATACCTCCCATATCAGATGCCTTATACGAATGCCAAGCGAACCCTTCTCTTCCGGACTGTTTTGATGTAACACCCTTGTAGAGCCCTCTAATGTAGAGACCTAAACAGTTACTAATACTATTTTGGGGCGGCTCCTTATTATAAGAATTCTAGTATAGTGGGCCCCAACTTCCTGTTCTAATTATTAAGGCATCTATATTAGCCACGTTTTGGAACACCCTATTCCTTCCTACAAAACCCCCGAGTTCCCAAGCCCTAAACCCCTAACTCTAAACCCCTGATGGAGCCCTCATGTTCCCTTGTGGTACCCTTCGAGAGCGCCTCGTTGCAGGACGGCTATCCGAGCCAGCTATGGAAGAACAGCCCGGCACAGGGCCAAGAGGGTTTCAATGAAAATCTGCAGCGGGTGGCCTGGACGAAAGCTCGGTATGGGGTTTAGGGTTTAGGGCTTGCCAGGGTTCTGTAAGGGTTCTGATGACGTTTAGGCTTTCAACCTTTCCTGGTGTTGGAGCTTGCTTTGGGGTGCAGGGGGCTGGGGCTTTTGGTGGCGTTTAAAGTTTTCTTGTTTAGAGTTTCTTGTGCCCAGCACGGTATTTCTACGTACCCATGAAGGCCCATGCACATCCAAGGACCGCGCTAAATTGCTGTTAGTTTTTGTCACTGCTATTGCTATTCCTGTGACTGGTATTATTTGCGGGCGAAGAGGTTTGTGACCTGGATATTGGTTGTTGTCGCTAGGCCTACTGCTCCAAGTCTGGGTTCTTTAACGTACTTATTTTGATAGTAGTCTGTGAGAACATGGAGATTCTATTTAATGAATGCCGACTATTTCTGCCTCTCAAGCACCCTGATGGCCAGCTACTCCTGTGCCTTGTGAAGGGATCTAGAAAGCCATTTGCACAACAAACCATAAGCACGAGACTCCAAACCATATAACACGACCACCCCTCCAAAAAAGGCAGCACCCAACAAAAAGTCTACTAAAGGCCTAAGCCCTGAAACCCCACTCTAGTGTTTGGAGTGTCAGCCGAGGTTTTGAAGAAATTGGCCGGCTGGACGTCGCCATCGCAGGGCGGAATGTGGTCGCTTGCCTGCTCCACCCCAGTTCAAAAGTACAGCGGCTGCTTTGCGACCACAACACAGGCCGGAACAGATCAATAATTACAGGGTTCCAACTGTTCGTGGGGAGTTCACATGCGTGGCCTTGCTCAAGTAGAAATTCTCGCTTGCCCCTGACAGGATCAGGGAAGACTTTGTGCATGGTTCGAAGCTTGGCTTTGGAAGTGGCAGGCTCGCATTTGTCCCAAATCACATGTTCTTGGCTTTTTACCTCTTTCTACCCTGCTTGGATGCGCAGAGGTGCAAGGTTTACCTCGAGGGCAATGGCCGCAACAAAACAGAAATTGCTACGAGGATATGATCAGTTCTCTTCACGCCTCTCCGTTAACCGCTACAGCAACTGAATAGAATGCAAGTAGCACAACCTAAGATTCCGCTAAGAAGAGGAAGAGGACGAAGAAGAAGAAGAAGAGGTTCGGCTTGCACGTGTAGTATAAGGGCCTCAACAATTAGAATAGGGTTGGGGGGCCCCCATTATACTATAATGATAATAAGGAGCCCCAGAATAGTATTGATAGTTGTTTAGGCCCCTACATTAGTGTGCAAGGAATCATGGACAACTTCTACTTCGACCCGCGCGGCAAGATCGCCATCTTTCCGAAGGACAGCGTGGTCGACAACTTCTACTCGGCGCAGCTTGCCGCTCATACGGTCGATGATATAAATCCTGCATTACCGACAATAAGGAATATACCATACTTCCCTTAGTTTTGGGTCCTTACGGTAATGCAGGATTTATTTCATCAACAGTAGGAGCCCTTAGAGCAACCTTCATAGGACTCTTATGGAGCTCTGTAAACAATCCCTCATAGAACCCTTCAAGGAGCCCTTCTAGAACTCTTGTAGAGCCATTGAAGAAACTTTAAGGGAACCCTTCTAGAACCCTTACAGGAACGCTTGGGGGGATCGGGCCTCAAAAACCTCATTTGCTCTGCAATAATGCCGCAGGATGCCTCTCAAGGGGTGGGCTTTAGGGTTAAAGACTTTAGGGTTTTAGGGTTTTAGGGCTTAAGCCCTACGTCTTACCTCCACCCGAGCTTTAGGCAATATAGGGGCCTAAATTTGACTATTTTGGGGGTTCTTTATTGATATAGTTATAGTTATAGTATAATATACCCCAAAACCGTATTTTAGTTGTTAAGAAGACCCCTACATTAACGCCCCTCTTTGACCTCGTGGACGGACTTCGCTTTTATGAGACATCGACCCAGAATGATTTGTTGCATGTCAGGTGGCCGGTAGGGTGCAGGGGCTAGCATTCCAAACTCGTCGTTGCACGGGAACGCTGTCCTCGGTACGGTGACAGGAGTCGGGTTTTACTGAATCCGAGCATCAGTCTGGTCGGAGCCGTAGTTTGTGGCGACACCAGCTCCGACAGAAATGCTCAGCGCGAGCAAGAGCTTGCAGTTTTCCCAGGATAGGCTTTGGGTTAATGGTCGATCTCAGGCATGCGGAGTACGTAGATGAATCTGTACCTGCAAAGAAAGGTTTGCCGAATATACCTTTCTGTATTCCATGTGGCTCCCAAGCAGTGGCAACCCGAAGCTAGCAGCTAGACCCAACAATACCAAAGTCCTATGGTCGAAATGAATTGCCCAACTGCAGGAGCCTTGAATGAACATACAACCCCAAGATAAGCCCGACAGGTGTTCTCACAAGATCTGGGGTTTAGGGTTAAGACAGGATAGAAAGAAGCTGAGCACCCTTATGTAACAGTCCTACAAAGCCATGTAAAACTCTATACACATAAGGAAATCATATTAAGGAACTCTAAAAAGATGGGTTCTTTAGGGTCCTAAACTCCTACACCCTAAACCCTCTAAAGCGCTATAATGCGCTATATACGGCCTACAAAAAGCACTTCTCTTCGCGCTCGCAGCCCAGGCTTTGGGAGTGGCCCAATCGCTGGCGCGACTACTGATGCCTGGCTCAAGCTGAAGATATTGGGTTTGGGGTTTGGGGTTTATTGTTTAGGGTTTAGGGTTTATTAGCTAGGGCTTAGGGTTCAGAGCTTATTGTTTAGCGTTTGGGGTTTAGGGGTTGGTGTTTAGGGTTGAGT